GAAGATTCATGCTGACGCTGTTTCCGAGGCAATCTCGTTCGATTCCGGTGAAAAGGTGCTAAGATTTCGTACGTCACATGACGAACATGATCAGAATAAGGTAGTAAAGAGGAGTATCTTTTGGTTAGTTTTTATGTGGTATCAATTTGCATTGATTGTCTTCGAAACTACTTGTGCCGAACAAAGCAACTTCATCGAATGGAATTGCAAGCTCATGATCGACCTCGCAATGGCAAATCTCTCAAAGTGACAGGAAGACCTTGTGGAACCTACTTACTTTTGTGTCCTCTGCCAAAGTATTAATGAGGATCTCCAGCATCGGACCGTTGAGTCGGTACATTCCCAGACGTTTCGCCGGCAGTGTAGTCGGCATCTACAGCGCAGGCTTACAATTTATTTATGCGAAGAAAAGTTGGGTTTCGAGGACTCTCTTGTTTCGTTATTGTTGAGGTTACTTCCATTTCGAGTGAAGTGTTCGGGTGAAGGGATTCGAAGCTCGATTCCACCAGAAGTCGACGACCGATTCCTCTTGACCAGCTGGAAGATTCATGCTGACGCCGTTTCCGAGGCCATCTCCTTCGATTCCGGTGAAAAGGTGCTAAGCTTTCGTCCGTCATGTCATGAACATCATCAGAGCAAGTTATCCTCATCGCTTTCACTCGAAATGGAAGTAAGCTCAACAAGTACGAAAGCTTAGCAAGGATTCATTTGGGTTGCTGGGCGGTGTAGCGAGGAGTTATTCGCCCAAATCTAGAGTTTTCGCTCCAAGGCAATCAATTCCCCTACAGGTTCCGGTGAGACCAACCTACGAATCCCTTCTACTCGTCTTTTCAGACGAACCGAAAGCTACTCCAACATCAATGCATTACGGGATTCTTCGAAACCCAGTTTTTCCACACGCCTACAACGAGTGGCAGTCTCGAAAGCCTGATTACAAAGAAAAATAAGTAATGTCCTCGATTGCTGTAGCAAGCACAAGTTTGCCTCACCGACAATCCCACCACAGAAGATGATATGGCAAAACGCCTGGCCTTTCTAGGAGTGCATATCTTCCCTGTGACCCGAAGACCCTCGCGGCAGTGTGGCGTAGGAGTTACTGTTTCGAGATGGCGATGATGTCGAAACGGCAGTCCATTTCAGTCTGGATAAACACACCTTTTAAGTAGCAAGGCTATATGAAATACGATGGGAGTGTGTGGTCTTCACGTGTATGAATGTGGGAAAACTCCACTACCGGTCACTTTAAGCGAAATAGGGTGAACATCCTGTGAAATAGATACTACAACTTACATTTGAGCACCATTATTTGCCGCCAAAAAGTAGACCGGAGGGCCCTGAGGCCAGGCCATGAGGCCGCCAGGATGTATGTCTCCGCCAGCGGCCAGGGGGACTCGAACCGCGGCGCCCTCGGTCATGCTGGGCTCGAGGTCGGAAGACCGGCCTAGTCGCCCGTTCGTTGTGGCGCAACACACCAGTTGGGCCGGATCGACGTGGGTCACGGAGACTACAAACGACACAACACCTTGTCCACACACGGGCACATTTGTTCGAGTTGCCAACTTGCCTCCGCAGGCACCAGACGTCTGGACTGGATAGGTTGTCTGCACCAGAGCCGTACGCAGTCTGTAGGCATGCACAAGCACACAAGCAACCTAAACTTGCCACTTGTGCACACCAATTCCGCCACCAGCACAAGTACACACAGGCAGACAGACACAGACACACACCTATTTACACACACCTACAGACAGGTACGGACACACGGGTATGCGGTTAATGGTGGAAAGTGACGACCGAGTGGTACAGCCGTCCAGTCGTGGAGGTTTCGGGCCATCGCGTGACCGGGCGTCAGTCGTACTCGGCGTCTCGTCGCAGAGTCCGGACGAGTGGCTGATCAACGCGCCGACGGGACGATGAAGATCCAGATCTGCTGGGGCTACTTGGTACCGGTGAGGCCTGAGAGGAGGAGGATGCAGATGAGGGCGATAGGGCCAGACGGAGGCATATGAACTGTGAGGGGCGTGGGCTGACTTTGGCAGGCCGGTTTGGACAGATCAGATCAGATCAGATCAGGTGTGCCAATCGGACCGGTGTACTCTTGCAGAACTGATTTGACCGAAAAGTACCCTTTGTGAAAATGGCAAAAGTGACAGGCCTATTGGTCAGGCGGACAATGGGGTGCACCTTGGAGCAGTTGTCAGAGGCTATGATTGGCCAGAATGCGGCCACAGCGTGAGCACGAGGAGGGAACGGGAGAATGGGAAAAGGGGACAATGTGTGCAAAGCAGCGAATGAGGCAGAAATACGTGAAAAGTCTTGCGAAGGCGTGCCAAAGTGAACTTTTGTTGTGTACTCTTACCGACGCATAGGCAGACTGCAAATGGCTGATGCCCTATTGTGATAGGCTGAACAGGGCGCCACATATCATTATCATAGTTGGCATAAGTACACTTTGCTTCGTCTTGGCAGGCCCGTCCGAATGACGCATACTCAATTATGAATGTTTTGAGGCATACAAGTGGCACACCCAGTGACTGCGGATGGGTGGCTTTACAAACCGGCTTCAGGATTGGTTTTTCCGTTTGTAAGCAATCTTGCAAGACTACCAGCAGATCATGAATACGAGATGTATTCACACTATTTCTTTTTTCACGTGATAAAGGCACTGATATTTGTATTTTCCCACAAACACATAAGTAGAACTTACGTTTTAAGTGAATTTCACATAGCCTTTATTTGCCAATAGGTATTCCCATCGAGACTGCAGTAGACTACAGTACTGACCTCGCTTGGGTCTCATCCGCATCCCATTTCGTTTAAGGTGGGAAACTTCAACTGCCATTCGAGAACTGCCAACTTTAACGAAATGGGGTAAATATATCGCTTCGAAAAGCTATTTATACACAAAAAATAAGAAATAATTATGCATAAAATGGACGTTCCTATAAGTCTTTCTACCATTATGACCAAGTTGCGAAAACAAGGTCAAACAACTTCTATACAATGGAAGGAGACTGTGACCACAAAAAAGACCACACCATCTTGGTCTTCATACTTTCAATCAATCTATGGAAGTACGATTGCCAAACAAGGC